AGACATTTGATTATGAAAAATTAAACATTTTCAGAATTTCACATGTATATTCTATTAAAATGTCAAAATCTAATTTTCTTTTCTTATTTATTTATTTATTTATTTTACAACAAAGCCCATTTCTGCAGGGAAATCTTCCTCACCCTTCTAATTCTTTACAAATGACACCATCCAATTCAGAACTTGGCTCTCAATCAAGCCACTGAATCATATGAGGGATTTGAGATTTAACCCTAAAAACTGGCCAGCTCTCTAAAACAAACAAACAAACTAGCAAACAAAAGCCCATCTCAAACACTCAGAGACAGCGGATGGGTCTGCAGCATGCCAGCTCCATCTGTTTGGCCATATCTCTCCCATTATCTGTAATACTGTCCTCAGGGAGGCTTTGCTAGAGGAAAAGCAGACTGCAGCTTTGTAAATACTTTAAGCCTTGAGTGGAGATCTGAAAAGCTCTATTGGGAAACAAAGCAGGACATCTGAACAGTTTCCTGGATCGTCAGCCCAGGCTAGTGGAAGATGTTCCAACACGCTCAGTAGACAAGCTGTTACTTAAATTACTAGATTTCGTTCACTTAGGTGTAATTTGGCCTAGTTTGACTTTAGGTTTGTCTACCTTAGTTTTATTATTAAAGACATATTATTTAAACATTAGTTAAATGAAGTCAAGTGTGAGGAAACAAACTGACAAAATGTAACTTTGAACAGGTGAAAAACACTGCACACCAGTGGAATCCAACATGATGGAAAAAAACAAAATGCACAAAAGCCACATAAACAAAATTAATTAAAACTTCAAAACAATAACACTGGAATACAGGTATGTACCCTTTAAACAAATTTGTGCTTACTTTGTTGCCTATTAAAAGTAGCAACATGCTGCACTTTAACTAAGTACCTTCACAGTCTGTTGCAACAATCAGTCCAATTAACTCAACTTTTACAAGGCTGTTGAAAACAACCGGCCAGTTGTTTCACTTAATCCTATTAAACAATAAACAATCAAGTGGCGCAAATTCTCTTTCAATTATCCCTGCTGAGTGTAAAACACTAGCTAACAATGTGAATGGTAGGAAATGTTTCTCACAAGCATTTTAATGCTCAGACTGTGCGCAGGGATCAGGGCAATGCACAGGTATGAACTATATGCATGATTTCCTTTCACAAGCAACTTGGCAGATGCCATTCCCCAAAGCAACAAACATTAAGTACTTGCAAGCTTGACAGGAACAAGAGCTAGAAGATTGCATCCCTCCTAAACACTACTCTTCAGTACAAGTGCATTGTTGTTCTTTGGAAACAGGATTTAAGTGCTATCATTCTTGTAAATTAATAGTATTTATCCTAGTTTCCTTGTTTGGGGTTCTGCAAAATATATTATCCAGCGAGAAATTAGAAATTATATTAAATTTTAGTCATAGTAGTATGTTTATTTTCCTGTCAGATTAATAATTTCCAGTTGTCCAATGTGATCTTCTGAACATCATGACTGCTAAAAGCTGCAGAATAACATAAAGTGGCCACATTATTAGGTACACTTGTACAACCTAATGCAGTCCTAATGCAGTGCATATTCTGAAATGTATGTTTACGATTGAGGAGATGGTTAGAGGTGGTGTACATTCTATCAAAAGGTATTTTAATTTTGTTGACAGAAACATTAGGGGGGCAGAAACACCTCTCAATATAATGCAGTCCAGTATAACACCATCAGTAACCATGACCTTGATGGCAAAATATATCATTTAATAAACACATTTTTAAATTACATTTATTTAGCTGACTCTTTCATCCAAAGTGGCTTACAGGAAGTGCATTCAACAATGCGGATACAACCTAAAATTGCAAGAATTGAGCAGGTGGCTACATCACCTTCATCAACTATGCTAAAAATATGCTAAGTGCTACATTCAGAAACAATAAGAGATGGAGAAATAGAAATATTTACTAGGTCACAGTGCAGTCGTAACAGATGAGTTTTCAGTGTGATGGTATATGTGTAGAGTTTCTGCTGATGTGTATGGGACACTCGTTCCATTATCTTTGAGTCAGGACTGCAAACAGTCAGGATTTTGTTGAGCGGTGAATCTTTCAGGTTGTAGGAATTGCTATAGGCGTCATCTGGGCGGTAATGTGTAACCAAATCACAGTTTTTAATGCTTTAGTATTTAAATAATTTTGATGAGCTACTTTAGCTTGCAATCGGTAGATGGGTAACATCCACTTAAATAACCATTGTTCAGACAGGGGAGCATGCAAAAAGTCTCAAAAACTAAGAAGAGCTGGACCTCAAATCATTGTAATCAGTTTCTCATACATTTTGTTTAGGTTATAAAATGTCAAGATTAAGGAAGCATAAAAAAGGTTCAAACACAAATGACTTTGTTCCTCCAGTTCATTAAATATAAAAGTAAATGGCGGCTGACTTATTTAAAGTGGTTCTCACAGTGTTAACACAGGACTAAAGTGCTACATTCTTTATACTGACAGACCTACTGGAAAAAAGGCTGAAGGCTGGAGAAAAGACTAGAACTGAATAACAAAGCCACCTGTAAAGCAAAAACAGACCAGAAGATGTTTGAAGTAGTAAAAATTGGGGTTAAAGAAGCAAAACCTCTATTTTCTAATGATCCAAAACTAACAGACTAATAATATTCCTCTGGAAAAAAGAATGATGGATAGAGAACAAGATTTACAATACAGTAGATACTGTCAGTATCAGCTGTCAAATTTCTGTAAGCACTGGGAGGCCTCTTTGCATTCCACTGTCCTTGAAGTTCTGCAGTGATGTAACTGATCAAGCACAAGGGAAATTGGAAGGCGGGGCTGGTGTGGTGGGGGAAAGATTATGATAAATGTGACGAGACTATGAAGACAGGTTAAAGACGGTTTTATGTAGGTTTGGGAGTTTGAAGGCTGAGCCCCGTGGCTAACAGCTGTTTTCAGGGCTAACTGAACTGAAGCCTGTTTTCCCATAGATTAGAAACAGGAAGCAAGGCAGAGTGCCCAGGCAACGCTCTCCTAATTACAACCACATGACCTCTGACCACACTCATCTGTCAGAGGGAGACAGAAGAGTGAGGGGCAGATGGAGGGGAAAAAAGAGCAAGGGGGATAAGGAAAAGGAAAACAGGTAGGAGAAAATGAGCAGCTGGGAGGTTTATGGAAAGGAAGAATAATGAAACTGGAAGTTGAATGAAAGTATGTATAGCAGATCAAAAGACACAACCTAGTTCCTGACAGTTCCTTGAAATCACAAAATTACAACTCTTAAAAAACAAAATACCCCAAGACATACATTTCTTTTTCTAGATCTACAATCTACCACTGCTGCGTAAACAGAACTGACAGGAAGGCATGCTGAGAGAGAGCCAACTAACCTTTCATATACCCTTCAAAGTAAGCAACATCATTTTTGAGGGTTGGAGAGAGTTATACCCCTTTTAGATGTACACAGCAATCAGCTACAGTGTGTGTTACTTAATGGAGACACATTTAGGTCACTTTTATGTTGGCACCAGTCTGTAGCTGTTTTTTGTCTTTCTTTCTATGCTTTAAAAAGCAAAGCTTTTTTGGTGGGTTGGATAGAAGTGAAGGGTTTAGGATCTGTCTGTACAACCCATGAAAATTATAGATAGCATGAAACACAGTTAAGATGCATAACATGAATGACACAGAAAACAAATACAAAAACTGACACCTGGCAATTGTGTGTTACAACTTAACTGTTAAAAGGTCATACACTACATTATTTGGTAACAGTTTCTATGATTTCCATATGTACCATGTGTCAAAGATATTCTTTGCAAGAGCAAAACGATACCGCAGAGGAAATAAATACACTGTAACAAATTGCTGTAAAATAACGGGACATTTTGTACATTAATGCACCATTATTTATAAATACAGTTGAATACTGTCAATGTTGATGCCTGTGAGGGAAAAACATATTAACAGCAAGCTACTGTACAATGTCACGGTATAATATAGTATTTTTTGTTTTGTTGCTTGTGTCCGCCCATAACTCATCTGATCACCTCATGTTGCTTCACGCCACACCACCTCAAAATATGAGTTTAGCATTATAGAGTAGTGATTTTAATCAACATAATAGGAAGGATAATAAAGAGATGAAGAACTGAAGACAATGATGAAGACAATTTTCACCCGGATTCTAGCCCTGGCAGCACTGAAGTGGACGAAGCAGATCACCACCTGGTGCTTTCTTCCATGCCTAAGCCTGCACGCTGTTATCCATCCTGCTCTTGTGGCTTACTTAACAAGGTAATTTCAATCTTATCAAAGTCAGCATTACTCAGTTATGACATAGTGTGTTGATTTTATCAAATGTAAAAGACAAAAGCATAACAAAGTGAAACTTACTTCATGACATTAGCCTACTTTGTGTTAACCCATGTTGCAAGCATGCATTGACACAAAACATAGAGTTCAATTCAATTCAATTCAATTTTATTTATATAGCGCCAAATCACAACAACAGTTATCTCACAGCGCTTTTCATAAAAGAGCAGGTCTAGACCATACTCTGTGATGATATTTACAGAAGCCCAACAGTTCCCACCAAGAGCAAGCACTAGGCGACAGAGGCAAAGAAAAACTTCCTTTTAAGAGGCAGAAACCTCGAGCAGAACCATGGCTCAGGGTGGGCGGCCATCTGCCTCGACCGGTTGGGGTGAGAGAGAGAGAGAGAAAGAGAGAGAGAGAGAAGAGAGAAAGAGAGAGGGATGTAAGGAGAGAGAGAGGGGAGGCAGCCTACACTCGTCATTCAAATTTGAATTTGATATCAAAAGAGAGCGATAGAGAGGAGGGTTTCACTGCGCTTGCCTGTGAGGTCTGAACCGAGGATAATGCATGCAACTCTGACACCATGGATGAAAAAATCCAAAGTATGGTCTTAAAGGACCAATATTTACTGTACTAAATCACAAAATAACCATGATATTTCAGATTTAGGAAACATGATAAGTTGAAACACTGACTTCTATGACAACAATACTATAGCCAGTATTTCCTCTTTTGAAATTATCTAAAGTGGAATGTCTAATGTGAGAGGATTACATATTGAGTGCAAATAATCTTTACTTAGCACACCTAATTTCTTTTATGCTTTCTCTGTTTTAGGCACTTCAACGGTATCAACCCCAAGAGGGGAACAAAGGCCAGCCAGGGGAAGGTGGTGTCCAAGAAGACCAGGAAGCTGGTCCATAAAAAGGCAGCAACTGTGAATCTCTATGTGGCCACCCTTATATAAAAAAACTCCTGGACTTTGAGCGAGGCTTTATGTAGTCCACAACACATCTCCACACAGGAGATGTGTTGTGGAAACAAACGAAACAAACGAAAGCCCTCAAACAACCAGATCTTCATGAGGTCATTTTAAGGTAACATGTCTGAGCATTGTGTTCCCCTTCGAGGGAACTCGAACTGCGTCGGTTACGACACTATGGGAACGCCTCTAGGCGAAGCAGGTCTGAACGTGAATGAAATCACTCCAATCCTATTGGCCTGTTGCTAGAACGGTAAGGTGTGACGGAATAACCGTAGGAGTATAAAGCACACCTGTACACACTCATCATTAGCTTTTTTTTATTCAGCAGGCGCTCTGTATGTTGTTTGAAGAAAGCTCCAGTCCTACAAGCAGTATGTCTTACCTGAAGAAGAAGTCTACCAGCATGTCCGGCAACCAGATGTACAGAAGGTGTGTTTTTTCTTGCCCTCGGTACATCACGGATGGAGATTCTCATGAGATGTGTGTCTCATGTTTGGGGATGGAGCACGCCCGGGCAGCTCTCGAGGGGGCTGCCTGCGCCCGTTGCGAAGCCCTTTCCGTGCGGGTGCTGAGGTACAGCATGTCTCTCTTTCCGAGGATGGCCGGATGTGTTTTCCCCGTGGCGCGGGCCCTGCGGCCGCTGAGGCGGCCCGGCGGCTTCACTCATGGGTTCACAGCGTGATCTGTCGGAGGATTTCGGGACGGCTGAGGCTTTTTCCCGACCTTCATCCGCTGGCTCCGACGCTTCCTTTCCTCGTTCGGGAGCCCGTTTTCGGCTTCTCCCGCTCGCGGTTTTGGATCCGGAGACGCTGCAGCAATCCGACTCCGAGGAGGCGGACGTGCTCAGCGCAGTGGACGATGACTTCCGGGTGTCGGGGCGGCGTCATCTGGCCGCGCCCGACTATGACGTGCTGCTGGAGGTGGTGACTAGAGCCGTGGCTAAGCTCAACATCAACTGGCCACAGGAGGAGCAGACACCACAGGCTAGTGGTAGCTTGATGAAAGGTTTCTTAAGCACCACACGCCACCTCCACGCCGGTCTCTGCCATTCTTTCCTGATTTACATGATGAGTAAATCATGGGGCAGACCCTTCTCTACATGGCTTTCCACACCCCGATCACTGAACTACAGTAATGTGATGGGGGTTAGGGACCGTGGTTATGGGAGGATGCCTCGGGTGGAGGATGAGCTTGCGAGCTATCTCTCCCCTCGACTTGCGTCCTCCCTGGAGAAGCCGGCATTACCATCCAAACCATGTCGCACCACATCCACGCTTGTGGGGAAGGCGTACATGGCAGCGGGCCAGGCAGGTGCGAGCTTGCACACCACGGTGCTTCAAGCCTACCAAGCCAACCTGCTACAGGAGATGGTTCAGAGGGGGGGTCCCTCCGAGGAAGATCTGGCGGAGCTTCGCAGAACCACGAAGCGTTAGACGCAGTGCGAAGCGTTCCGCCAGTACCTCCCTCGCCGGTCTGGACCCAAGGCAGCTGAGGCTGCCAGGCGTAGGTCCCTTCCCTCTACGAGCTCCTACGGAGAGGAGGGAAGCAGAGTGTCGCTTCTCGGGGGCCCCCCGAGGAGCTGGGGCAGCGAGACGGCGCTCTCACCCTCAGCCGTCTGAGAGACGCGATCTGAGGACCGTCATCCAGTCCCGACGGAGCTCAGGGAAGACCGGGGTAGGGGAGTCTTTCTCCCCTCCCGCACCCCCCCACCCCCCCCGGAGGCCGACCGAGGTCCCCTCCGCCGTGGCAACAGGTGATGTTATCCCGCCGTTTACACGTTCAGGACGCACCTGCCACCACCGAGTCCGCGCCGTACTGCCTGCCCCGAGGGTCTGCAGACGGACGGCATCCCGACTCACTCACCGTGGATCTTCGGCGGCTCCCCCCTGCCGTTCTGGGGCTTCAGGGGTCCACCAGAAGATCACACGAGACACCGACCACCAGCCCCGAGGGGCTGGTTCCGTTGGCAGACTTTGCAGACGCTTGGCGGAGCCTGACGAACATTTCTCCGCGGGTCCTGCGCACTGCCATAGATGGGTATCGACTACAGTTCAAAACCCGCCCTCCAAATTCAACAGAAGAGAGGGGGTGGTTTGGACTGTGGTCCGCCCGGAGCAAGGTCCGGTGTTGGGACAGGAAGTTTGTACTCTGCTGAGGAAAGGGGCCGTGGAACGTGTCTCCCCCCCAGACAGAGACGCCGGTTCTACAGCCGGTACTTCATAGTCCCCAAGAAGGACGGAGGGCTGCGTGCCCTATTTTGGATCTGCGGGTTCTAACCGGTCTCTGAGGAGATTCAGGTTAAAGATGCTCATCATCCCCGCCACCGTGACGCACATCCAATCTGAGGATTGGTTCGTCACGATAGATCTAAAGGACGCCTATTTCCAGGTCTCCATCTGTCCTTCTCACAGGAAGTTCCTGAGGTTTGCCTTCGGGGGTGTGGCTTACCAGTATCGGGTTCTTCCATTCGGCCTGGCACTTCCCCTAGCACATTCACCAAGTGTATGGATGCAGCACTGGCCCCGCTGAGGCTCCGGGGCATCCGGATTTCAACTTCATCGACGACTGGCTCATCCTAGCCCAGTCTCGAGAGTTGGCAGTTCGGCATCGAGATGTCGTTCTGGCTCGTCTGCGGCGTTTAGGGCTGAGGCTCAACGCAAAGACGAGCGTGCTGGCGCCCACCCAACGGGCTACGTTCCTAGGGGTTGCATGGGATTCGACAACGATGCGGGCACAATTGTCTCCGGCACGTGTCGACACCATATTGGCTGCCGTGAAAGGGGTGAAGTTAGGCCACGCCATCACTATGAAACACTTTCAACGAGTGTTGGGTCTCCTGGCGGCTGCGTCCAGCGTAATACCATCTGGACTGCTGCACATGAGACCCCTGCAGTGGTGGCTAAGGAACAAGGGTTTTTCCCCGAGGGGAATCCTCTCCGTCTGGTTTGGGTTACGCACAAGTGTCTTCGTTCCCTATCAGTTTGGAAGGAAACTTGGTTCCTGTCCCAGGGGCCCGTGCTGGGAGGGTCTTGTCGCCGGCTGGTTCTTTCGACAGACGCCTCCCTCACGGGCTGGGGCGCGGTCATGGACGGCCGCTTTGCAAGGGGATCCTGGCAGGTGCATCGATCCGAGTGGCATATCAACTGTCTCGAGATGTTGGCGGTGTTCCAGGCTCTAAGGAGTTTCCTGCCCGATCTCCAAGGCCACCACGTCCTGGTTCGCTCCGAGGAGAACAACACAGCGGTGGTGGCCTATCTGAATCACCAGGGCGGTCTGCGCTCGCGCCCTCTGGACAGACTGGCGCGTCAGATCCTCCTGTGGTCCCAGCAGAGGTTACTATCGCTCAGGGCGATGTATCTCCTGGGGACGCAGAATCAGGGAGCAGACCTGCTGTTGAGGCAGGGGCTGAGGCCCGGGGAATGGAGACTTCACCCCGAAGTGGTTTGAGCCCCATAGACGTGGATCTGTTTGCGTCTCAAGAGACTACGCACTGCCCGCTATGGTTTCTCTCGTTCCTCCAGCCCCGTTGGTACATTCGTGGTCGAGGCTACGTCTGTACGCTTTTCCCCCAGTCGCTCTGCTCCCGGGGTTCTGGAGCGGGTCCACCAGGACTATGTCGGCCTACTGCTCGTAGCCCCGTTCTGGCCAACCCGGGTGTGGTTCTCGGACATCATGTCGCTCCTGGACGGCCCGCCGTGGCGGGTCCCTCTGAGGAGAGACCTGCTGTCCCAGGCGCAGGGCCGGGTTCTTCACCCTTGCCCCGCCATATGGCGACTGTGGGTCTGGCCCCTGAGGGGGCACAGTACCTAGAGGCGGGTCTAACAGCCGGAGCAGTCGAGACCCTCCTGAGCTCCAGGGCCCCGTCCACACGGAGGATGTACGGCCTGAAGTGGAGTGTTTTCTCCACTTGGTGTAGGGAGCGGTCGGTGGACCCTGTTACCTGCCCGGTGGTTCAGGTACTTGAGTTCCTCCAGGACCGGTTCTCTGCTGGTCTTTCCCCTTCCACCCTCAAGGTGTACGTGGCAGCTATTTCATCTTTCCACACCCCTCTGAGGGAGGGGTTCTTGGGGAAACTTCCCTTGGTTGTACTTTTCCTCCGTGGTGCCCGGAGGATGAGACCTGCGACTCGGTCCAAGGTTCCCACTTGGGATCTGGCAGTGGTTCTTGGGGCGTTGGCTGAGGCCCCCTTCAAACCCCTGGAGTCAGCTGAGGCTAAGCACTTGACCCTCAAGATGGCCTTTCTCCTTGCTTCACCTCTCTGAGGAGGGTGGGGGAGCTCCAAGCGCTTTCGGTTTCCCCGCAAGCCTGGAGTTTGCCCCGGGGAATATTAGGGCTATCCTGCACCCTCGTTCAGGATACATCCCTAAAGTGCCTTCTTGTGCGGCAGGGTCCACAGTGCTGCAGGCATTTCATCCTCCACCTCATGTGACGGCGGAGGACGGGAGACTTCATCTGCTCTGCCCTGTCAGAGCACTGAGTATTTACACTCTGAGGTCCTCCCGTTGGAGGAAGGCTGACCAGCTGCTAGTGTGTTTTGGGTCTCCCAGGGCCGGGCTCCCTGCATCCAAACATGCTATTAGCAACTGGATTGTTCAGACTATTTCCCTGGCCTATCAGGTGCGCGGTTTGCCTTCACCTGTGGCTGTGAGGGCTCATTCTACCAGAGGCAAGGCGGCCTCTCGAGCCCTCCTTTCCGGGGCCTCTTGCAGGATGTTGTTTAGCGGCTGGCTGGGCCACTCCGCACACATTCATTCGGTTTTACAGTCTTGACCTTCCTTCGGCACCTGGCACTCGTGCGCTCTCCTCTTAGTAGTGCCACTTTATTGCACACAGGGGCAGGCGGGGTTTTCGGCACGGTTTAGTGGGTATCTCGTTCCCATAGTGTCGTAACCGACGCAGTTCGAGTTCCCTCGAAGGGGAACGTCTCGGGTTACGTATGTAACCCTGGTTCCCCGAGAAGGGGAACGAGAGACTGCGTCGGTCCGCCGCACCTCTCTCCCCGCCTGAAGCGCCTGCTTCATAGTTTAAGCTAATGATGAGTGTGTACAGGTGTGCTTTATACTCCTCCGGTTATTCCGTCACACCTTACCGTTCTAGCAACAGGCCAATAGGATTGGAGTGATTTCATTCACGTTCAGACCTGCTTCGCCTAGAGGCGTTCCCATAGTGTCGTAACCGACGCAGTCTCTCGTTCCCCTTCTCGGGGAACCAGGGTTACATACGTAACCCGAGACGTTCTGTTCAGTAGAGCTGAGTCCTATTGTTTGAGTTAGCAAGCAATAGGATAGCATATTGAGAACCTGTTCAGAGATTGCGTTTTAATGAATTGTATTTTACAAAAATGTACTTATTTTAAAATTTGTCATTTTATTTTTTTGATAGCGCATTGACTTTAATAAATGCCACATGTTGTAAGGCCATCTCTTGTCTGATCCATTTATATGCTAGAAATTTTGAGGTATTTTTATTTTGAAATGTAAAATGTTTAAATCATTAGCTTACAGCAGTGTTATACTGTAAAACCAAACAAACAGTATTATACTGTAATGCTTATATTCAATACAGCACATTACTGTAATATTTTTTACAGTAATAAACTGTTGTTATTGATTACAGAGTTACACTGTAAAATAACAGTTTCATGCTGGCAACTGTAGCTGCCAGTATTTTACTGTAATTTAACAACAAAATTTGTTACAGTGTACAGATATAAGACACCCAACAAACATAGTCAGTCACACACAAGCAAACACATAAAAACGACATCAGAAAAAAGGCAACTCTAAAATAAAAAGTTTAAACTCATCAAAGGGGATGAGAAGTTTCTGATATATTTCATTTATACTGTGCAGCGTATTACAAAACAATTCAGGAGCACATCATAAGACAATCACGATGCATGATGAGAGTTGCTTTAAACTTTTCAAAATGTATTATATGCATTATGATGCAATAACAGCCATGAGACATAAGTGATCACACATGCTCCTGTTCACTTTACCTAATTGACATTAACATTTATTATTTAATTATTTGTTTATTTTACCTTTTATTTTACTAAAAGTTCCATTTGAGGTCATTTCAGCACAGTTTAAAATACAATACAAAAAAAACACTACACTATATGGCCAAAAATATTGGGACACACACACATTACTTTCATAACATCCCATTCTAAATTCAAAGGCATAAATATGGAGTTGGTCCCCCTTTTGTATCTACAACAGCTTCCACTCTTCTAGGAAGGCTTTCTACAAGATTTTAGAGTTTGTCTGTGGGAAGTTTTGCCTGTTCATACAGAAGAGCATTTGGGAGGTGATGTTGGACACAAGGGCCTGGCTCGCAATCTCCATTCTAGTTCATCCGTAAGGTGTCGGATAGGGTTGAGGTCAGGGCTCTGTGTGGGCCAGTCAAGTTCTTCCACACCAAACCATTTCTTTATGGAGCTGGCTTTATATACTGGGGCATTGTCACATCGAAAGAGGAAAAGGCCAAACACAAACTGTTAGAAGAACTGTTAACTAAAATTGTGTTATGTAGTATCAAAGACCAAACCATGAATAAACAGTCTCTGCCAAAGGTACTGGGACTGGGGTGTCCCGGTATTTTTGTCCATATAGTGAATTAAAACATACACAAGCAGTAATGACAGTGATACAGACATATTATCCACGTAAGTTGTTGGACTAAGTGTGAAAGCATGTGCATGTGTCAATTGAGATTTTTGAGATCCTTTTTGTAGGCAGTCAAAGAGATTGGTGTGCCAAGCTTAAGCTTAACCTGGAGTTCATTCCAAGACCAGGAGCTGTAATAAAAAAAAGACTCCTCTTTCCAGCTTCACCCCCCACATTTGGTACCTTGCATTGCAGTGACAATGAGGATAGCTAGAGAGAGTATTGTTATAATAAATATGGTTATAACACCTTCACAGTAAGAGGGTATTGCTATCATATTGTGAGGCTTTGGCAGAGGCAGTGGTCATAGTGTTTTGTTGATACTAACACCAGAGTCCACATTCAGAGCCTTAAAAGATCAGAACATTCAAACTGGAAGCTTGGCAGCTCAAGCACCATGGTATTGAAAAACCTCATGACCTCTTATGTAAAAAGAATAGAGCCATTTTGAGGTATCAGAGTTCTATGATCATAATTATGAGACATTACAATGCATTATAAAAACTTACAGAAACTCTAAATGTGCATTATACATATATTACATTGAATGCATCTTGGAAAGTATGTATACCACATTATGAACATTTGAACTTTCAGGTCAAGGTTAACGATGAATTTTAATCAAATCACTATAATCAAATTGTCTTAATCCCTGTGTCCTTTTTACATTTTCCATTGCAGTGTCTCTCTGTCTGTCTTTCTCTCTTTCCCTCGTAAAAGGCTCACTGCCTAATAATTGGGTAATGGCTCTTAGGAGAGCAATGCCAGAGTGCTGCTGGGTGAGTCGAATATGAAGGAGGGGAGGAGGTAGACACTGCCAGACACTGCTCCATGCTCTGTTGGCTTTATTTTATCTTGCGGTGAAGGTCATGAGTTGAGCAAAGACGAGCAGATTCAGATCTGTGCAAACGAGGTAAAATCTCGTCGTGAGCCAGCAGAGCAGGCCGGTGACTGGAGGACAGAGGTAGTGAGAGTTGTTCAGAACATGATATAAACTTTTAACTTTTAATCTACTCATGTTCTGTTCCACTCCTGTATTTGAAGCTTTTTGGTCCAAGTGTGAAGATGTTCGATATTATGTTTCTGAGGAAGACAATGATGGCATTTCTAGGCATAATAATGTTCTGTCAGTCAGTCAATCGATGTGTTATGTCCTTTCTTTTTCTTAAAATTTTCTGTTGATGATGTCGGTGTTTCTGTAGGTTCCTTATTTTAATACTATACGCTATGCTTTATAATCTGAAAACTGAAAGTACTTTGTAATGCTGAAACACCTAACAGATTTGCCTAAAAAGGGGGTTTAACAAATCTGAATCCAGTATTGAATTACTTAACAAGTCCGAATCCTTTTCAATCCCTCATCAATCCCCACCCATCTACAAACTGTTGACCTGGCTATTTCTGATCACCTTGCCGTCATGTTCTCTGTTTCTGTGCACACACACAGGAAGTGTGTGAAAAGGACCATTGCATATCGCAACATCAAACAAGTGTGCATACCGAAAATATCCTATACCCTTGCAGGCCATCTTATCAGCTATCCCCCAAACTGCACTGTTGATGACTTGGTTAATCACTACAACCTGGCCCTGTCACGTAGTCTGGACTCTGTTGCCCCCCTCATCACTCGATCTGTCTCCTTCTCCTGTCCCGCTCCCTGGTTCACTGCTGAACTCCGCCTCATGAAGGCCACAGGGTGGAGGCTGGAGAGGTACTATTAAAAAATCTGGCCTTACTGTCCACCAGGAAGCCTACAACAATCATGTTAAGAGCTACAAAGATGCTCTGTCCAGGGCGGAAACTAACTATTACTCGATGCACATTGGCAACCAATAACATCAACCTAAACAGCTTTTTTCCACTATCAACCACCTATTCTGCCCACCTGACCCTTCTCAACCATCTGACGCTGCTGGCCTATGCTCCAGGTTCCTGGAATACTTCCATAAAAAGGTAGAAACCATCCACCAGCAACTGCAGCTGTCCAGCTCCTCCCACCCAACCACACTACCGCTGCTGGACATAAACTCTTCAACTGTCTCCACACCACAGGACTGCCTCTACTCTTTCTCCCCGCTCAAAACAGCTCAAGTTCTTGAGCTAGTGTCAAAAGCTAAGGCCACGACCAGCAAACAGGATGCAATGCCGACTGCCTTGGTCAAGGCATGTTTTCCAACTCTGGGTCAGCATCATCAACACCTTGCTGTCTTCTGTGGTGGTCCCCACCAGCTTTAAAACTGCGGCGGTGATCCCTACACTCAAAAAACCTGGCCTGGATGACCCAAACCACTACCGCCCAATCTCCAACCTACCTTTTATTTGCAAGTTATTGGAAAGAGCTGTGGCTGCCCAACTCAACCATCATACATCACAACCTCTACGAGCCATTTCAGTCTGGCTTCAGGACACATCATAGCACAGAAACTGCCCTCATTAAAATCACAAATGACCTTCTCATGGCAGCTGACTCTGTCTATGTCAGCATCTTAATTCTTCTCGACCTCTGTACAGCCTTCGATACAGTCTCCCACACCATTCTTCTCACTCGCCTCTCCAAACTCATTGGCCTCACTGGTACTGTGTATTCCTGGTTTCAATCCTACCTTACCAATAGGCAACAATACATCACCCTTAAGGGCATCTGCTCTGAATTGGCGCCAGTCTCACACGGCGTGCCTCAAGGATCGGTGCTTAGCCCGCTACTATTCAATATCTACATGCTACATCTTGGGATGATCATCCGGAAACATGGACTCCTCTTCCACTGTTACGCTGATGACACCCAGCTCTACATCAGCACTAAGTCATCTACTCCCCTTCCACCAGTGTTGCTTATTAACTGCCTGAAGGACATCAAGAACTGGATGCACAGTAACCTCCTCAAACTCAATAAAGACAAAACAGAACTCATGGTTATTGTCCCACAGTCACTTCTCAAAAAGGTTGGTGACATCACACTGATGGCTGCTCAATCTCTGCATCCCCTCAAGTACGCAACCTGGGCGTCATCATGGACTACACTCTCTCCTTCCAACAGCACATCAAAAACACTACTAAAACTGCCTTTTACCATCTTAAGAACATCTCCAGACTCCGACAGTGCCTCTCCCACCTCTCACCCTTTTTTTTTGTTTGTTAAGCGTCCTTGGGTTTGTGAAAGGCACTATATAACTATATAAAGTTATTATTATTATTATTATTATTATTATTATCAAATCTAATTGGTTTAGCTTTGACAATTTAACAAGTAAAACCTCAAACATTCCACTTTGCTTGGCTGAGAGGGCAGAAATACTTAACCTTTCAGTAGTAGCCTGATTAATGTTCACACCTGCAGCTGCATTCTGAAAATTTAATGGGCAGCATAATATATGAAATGTAAATGAAAGGTAACTGATACATTCAATAATCAGCTGTAGTCTACTGTATTCCATGAGCTACTTGCTCCAAATATTGGAGATCTTGATGGCCCAAAGTTGATAAGCTTCAAATATTAATATGATATCCATTAACGGTAGGAGACAGCATTACCATTTCTCAAAGGGTTGCTACTCTTTTGATCTTGTGTGAACTGTCTACTTTAGTACACTTGTTACTGAACTTCTGTCATCTAGTTTGACAACATTATGACACCCCCACAACGCCATGTTTGTTGATATTCTTACGTTTATACGTCTGTGTTTGGCCCCTTTTTCCTGATTACTTTCACACATCATGCAGGTTGTGAAAGTCTGCAAACTAATTTT